TTGTTAGTTAAGTAAGTAACTAACTATAATAATAATAATAAATAATAATAGACTAAACTAATACTATAGTTGTTAGTTAGTTATTTATTATTATAGTCGTGTGTGTGTGTGTGTGTGTGTGTGTGTGTGTGTGTGTGTGTGTGTGTGTGTGTGTGTGTGTGTGTCAGTTGCTTTTAACTCCTTCTATACTGGGTGAACTGATGACATGACCTTATAACCACAAAGTAATCATCAGAGTTTCTATACTATAACTTTTAGTATGCTTTGTGTATCTTCACAAAGTTTGGCAAGCTTTTAATAAATGCAAAGTATTTTTACTGAAGATTTGTCCATGATTAAATGAAGTCAAAGTGTTGACTGCTCCAAGTGCAAAGTGATTCTCATCTTAAGATTAAAAATACTTTTCATCTGAAAATTTTCAAATTTCTAAAACCTCTTAAATTTTCTTTACCTTAATTCTGTATGGACTCTGTTGATTTGACCAACCTTGTAACCATCATTAAAAAAATGCAAAATAACCCTATTTTTTCTTACTTTCTAGAATGACTGCAAATTGTAACCAAAAACTATAACTGTTTTTCCCAAACTCATAACAGTCTACATCCATTTATACTTAATTTTGTTGTTTTATTTCCCTTTGATTAGTGTCTAACTAATAATCCTGCCACACGAGTTGTAAGTTACTAAGTCAATACATTGCATATTTACTGTACTGAATAACATAATGCACGAGCTACTCGAGAGCATACTTCATGGAGAATTTCTTTCCTTTTCATTATCCTACCTAGTCTAAGCTCATGTAGGTTAATAAATATCTATTTTTAACTTTTACATTTTACTTTGATAACAATAAATGAAATATTATAAATGAAAAACAAAAAAATACAGTACTTATCTTTGACTTGTTTTTTGTTGTCAGTTGCCAATGTTATTTAAGCCTACTTTTTCTTTTTAATACTGATGGTATTAGTACACTAAATAATTTTTATTTACTTAATGCACCTAAGAATACAAAATAATGACATACACAAAGCAAACAAATATCCAAAAAGTATTATAATTTAACTGACTTCCTAACTATGGCATAAAAGCCTAAAAATATTTCCCTAAAGCTTATTTGATCTGATCAATGTGACAGAACCTTTCACACTGAAGACAAAATAGATAATACTCAGTACAGAAAACAATGTAATGTAGTACATCATTTCAAAGATTTTAAATTTTGTCTTTTTATGGATTATAAATTATATAAAACTTCAGCGTTTGTGAAACAGAGGATGTGACAGGTGGGCATCACAAGTGAGTTTGGCTTTCTACTTTATACATAAAGACTACTTTAGACATAAATTATTGAAGGCTATAAAAATTGAACAATACCTTAGTGATACCTACATTATAGAATGGGCAAAATATGGAGAACAAATGTCACAATTATCACATGAGATGAGATTGAGGATTTATTTAAATATTTTTTTAAGATTTAAAAATTTAAACTTGTATAAAATTTAACTGATTTATTACCTACTTTCAATGCAAATTTCATTTGTATATGTTGATAATAAAATAGCTTATTCAATTTTGAATGGAACTCTGTAAAAAGTCTTGATATGCGTACTTTAGCCTACCCATAACGAAAGGTATAATATTTATAAATATCCAGAACATTTAACTAAAATTTCTTATAAATTTTCTCTATAACGAAAAACCTTTAAGAAAGCTAGGATACACACTGAAATAACTGCTTTAAATGAAATACACACAATGATTTGACTAATTGTCTAAAATATGGAGTAAAACACATTATGATCACAATTTTTTTTAATATAATGTTACTTTTTTGAAATTATTAAGAGTTTAAGTTATGCATACAAACAGATTTTTTTATTAAAAAATTTAATAAATAAACATCTTGTTTTTCATAATTTTACCTTGGTTACAGATTAATGTTTTACCTTAAAAAGAGCCAATATGAAAACATGAAAACGCTGACATACAATCATCATGAACTGTTATACCTGGCATTAGGTCAAGACCAACATCCATTGTTCTAGAAGAAGGTACTACAGGAGGAGAATTTCTGCCATCAACCTCATCAGATTCAGATTCTTTCTGCTCTCCATGAATAACAGCAATTCCTTGAAAATAAACACACACACAATAAAACTTCACTTTAAAAAGCATAAAGAATAAAAATATGTTTGGGAAAGTTGTAAGAGACTATGGAAGGTCTGACCAACCAACAGAAAAAAATTCTGTTATCAAGTTCCGAGTATCTGTAAATAAATAATTTATTGCTCCAGACTAAAAATAAATACAGTATTTCAACATAATATGGTGGGAATGTATTTATTTTACTGTAACTGGTTTTAGTAGGTTTTAAAATAGGTATCTCATAAATAAACTTCATCACATTTTTTTACTGTAATGGATATTTCATTTGTGTAAACACAGAAGGCAATGCTGGAAATATCAAAAAACTTTATTAGATCAAGTGCTATATGTAAATATGTAGTTAAATCTCTTTAACTCATACATAAAAGGGAACCGATATTATAAATTACAGCAATATATCTCAAATGCTACTTAATTTACAATTTGTTCTAAACTAGTTACATTCAAATGCTCATCAAAATGGCCATAGATGCTACTGAAGTTGTCTCTTGTATGTGTAATTTGCTCTGATGTTTTGTACCCTATAAACACTTCTCATAAATGGTTTAATATTTTTGTTTTATTGGGTAGTACTTCCACTGTAAACATTTACAATGCTATCAAGTTATGACTAATTTCAATGACACCAAAGATTATAATATTGAGTGACATTATCCACAAACTCCCAAATCAAAGTGATCAAATATGTTCTGTGTTCAATATAAATCCTTTACAATTCTAACATAACTAATGCCATGAGTTTTTAGCACTTAAAAGTACCCAAAATAAAAATTATAATAAAAATTAACTTTTAAAGATATCAAAAATATCTAGATTATGTACTAACTATGAATTAAAAGATGTAAATTGATACTTCTATGTTGATTTGCTTATGTTTGAATGTTTCATACATACTTCAGAAATGCCAAATGCTCAATTATGCTCGAGAAGGATGATTCAAGCTGTTTAACTTCATTTACAGCTTTATTTTTCAGAATGTTTTTCTTACTGAAATCTATCATTTTTTCGATGGATATACTCAACATCAAGAATTTTGAAAATCAAACACAGCTGTGAAGAAAGTTTGTTATTCTTCTGTCATTTATCTTCATTACTCTAGTTAATGAAATTAACTCAAAAATATAAGTACAGATTTAGATGATTTTAAGTTGTGAAAGATTCTACTATTTAACATCCTGGACAAGGAGTTTAACCTTCCAGCTACCCCTCACTGCAAAAATAGGAGCAATAAGCTTGATGTGACATAGTTCATAGCTGTGATTGATATTTGTGAAATTTATGGCTCATTGTTAAGTGGTAAATACAACCCATTAATCAGGTCTAGGCACAAGGGAGTTTTGTCCATGTCCAAACTTTTAAGAAAGAAACATTTTAGTGTAGCAAAGATAGGATTATAATTTCAGATTATGGAAAAGTCATAAACACTTAGTCTCATAAGAATATTAAAAAAAAAAAGATTTAACAGTTTTTATTCATAATAATAAATAAAGAAAATACAATTGTTGGGGTGAAGCATCTGCAAATACATGTTACTTACGAAATTATAATCCTATCCTTATTACACTAAAGAACTATTTCCTTCCTAAAATGTTGGGCATGGACAAACTCCCTCCTGCTTAAACTTGATTAACTGACCATATTTGCCATGAATTTTACACCTAATAATGAGCCACCAGTTTCACAATGAGCTATGCTTCAAGCAAACTTGTTATCATAAGATGAAAGAGAGAAAACTAAACTTTATGTCACATGGATGAGTACATCCTACTCCACAGCAAAATTACACCACTGAATTAAAAAAACAATTACTGAAAATAAACTTGTAGTTGGTTTTTCTACACATAAAACAAACAAAAACTTCAGAAATGAAATATAATTAATAAAAAAAAAAAAAAGTTTTATTATTTAATGAATAAATAAATAATTGCAAATGTGAGTTGATTTGAGCATACTTTGAATGGATTTATTAGTGTTTACACGTGAATTTCCTGAATTTTTCTTAGCACAACTTGTACCATGTATCTTCAATGAATGTGGATTTTATATACATACATATATATATCTGAACTTTGAGAAGCCATATGTAAAGATGTAAACACGTAATGAAGGCTTTTTTTTCTGTCCTTTTCCACTGTACAAGCCAACATGGCTTTCAAGTCAACAAAGAATGGGGTAGAAGTCAAAATAAAGTGATCAAAGCTTAGCTTGGTGGTATGTTGCTAAAAGAAATGTTTATGAACAACTTCTGCCAGAATTATAATACTGATTTTTTAAGACTTACTTTATCATATTATCCTTCATTTAAAATATGATGTTGCAGTATAATAGGAAAATAAATGATTTTCATGAATAAAGATCAAATAGAGAATTGTTAAGCTTAGTTAAACTGTTTTGTCCTCAACTGTTATATTTTATTTTCTGACAAAACCATTGTTTGTTAAGCCATGTTAAATATTATTAAACTATGTAGTGACTTAAATGGGCCAAAAAACCTTACAAAAATGTACAAGTTAATATAAAATCTATTACACATATATTAAAAAATTATTACAAAATTTAAAAAAGTGAACTTGCTTACAATTTTGGCATTTTTAAAACATTATTACACAACAGTGATTGTAAGCACAGCGAAACTGCATGAGCCATTTTTTTTTAATCAAAACAAAAATTAAATTTATGGCTTTATAAAATAAACTTAAGTTTTATAAGATAGTAAGAAAACAAAAATCACTAACTGACATATACAACAAATGTTAGCATTTTTATTTGTTTCTTAAAAAACATATCACAACAAAACTTATTCAACTTTTCAAAGCTACAAATTCACACACATCACACATAAAAAAGATATTTTATTTTGCAGAAGCTAAATAATGTATAAAAAATTCATCAAGTTTCTAATTTTATCCAAAGGTTATTTTCTGCAATGCAATAAAACAAACCATACAACAGATGCACTGAATTGACATACCTGGATACTTAGAGCTAATCAAGCATTCAGACTGTATATACACTTAACAATAAGCCAGTGTTAGTTATACATAAGTAAATTAAAGTAAGCTCACTATTGTCCACATCACTTAATCATTACCAAATAATTACAAATATATAACCATAATGTTTTCTACATTTTTATTTTTCATTTTAAAGGTATCACTAACTTTGGTAAAAATCTTCACAGTTTCAATACAGTGTATGTTTTTATAAACATTATTAAATTGAGTGTTCAGTGTATTATATCACAACCACTAATTTTTGTTTAAAGTTCTAATAATATATTAATAAAGCGAATGATTAAGTTCAATGTTAATTGAAGTTATTAATATTTTACATTTTTCTCAACTTTGGATCTAGCTCATAAAAAAACACTGCCAAAGATAACACAATATTCATTTTGTTTTGTTCAGTGTGTAATAGCTTAAATACTTTATTTTGTAATTAAACACCCAAACTGTTTCAAGTAATGGGTATAAATAACTATTTTACAGAAAGGAAAATACAATAAGCGTTCGAATTTATGCTAAAACAATTTCTTTTTGTCATGAAAGTAATTTTTACCCCAATAAAGCTTACCAAGACGAAGTCTCTCAGCATATGAAGTAGCCTTCTTAGCCGAGCCCGGATTTCTAGCAACAATAACAGCATTTCTGTAGTCTGGGATCTGATATGGTGAAAAAATATACAAAACTACATGTACTATAAAAATATAGTAAAGAACAGCCTGCTCATTCTCAGTTACACAATATAAAGTGCAAATTTTTTTTCTTTACAGAAGATGTATTGACACATTTTTATTTTTCAGATATTCCCAAATAAAATTATGTATATCAAACCATTTATAAATACATAAACCATGTTAATAATTTAGAAACTGAAAAGGACTATTACATTCATTGAGGAGGTAGGTTGTGTCTTTAGTCTGCTCAAAATTTCATATATTTTTTTTTAGACTGAAATACAGCTTAATTACTAAGCTTGATAAATTATAATTGAATTCTATGGTATTGATGTAGTAATTTATGATTTTTTTAGTTATCCAATTGTATATATATATAAACAAAAAAAAATATTTCATTTCATATCCTCCATGAGCAAAATTTTTAAATGCTTAGCAACATTCATCAATCATCAACAGAGTACAAAGGTCATAACTAGAAGAGATAATTGTTTGCTTTACTTCTTTATTTACTGTTCTATGTTTAAGATCTTATTTCTAAATAGCAATAATCTATATACATATACAATGTATAAAAATTGAAATGTGACTATTTTACAAAATACTAGTCTACTAAAACATAGCCAAGACAGGTCACTTTGTGAAGACTAAAGGTCAGTTTTTATACTATTGGATAAGGTAACACACATATATATATATAAAAATGTATAATGTTACGAGATTTAAGCTATTTAGTTTTAACATTTATGTTTTCATGTTATAATCTGTAGTCATTCTAGAATGAAAAAGATATAATTTATATTTATTTCCTAATTTGTTTTAGCATGATTACAAGATCGGTCAAATCGACCAAACCCTTACAGAGATTCGTTACTGAAAATAACAGATAAAATGTAGTATGCAAAATAAAACAAAAATAAAAACATTGCTTTACAAACCTTAAGTCTTAACAAAAAAAATTTTATATTTTGCATGTGAAAGCATTGTAATGTTTTAAGATAATCTGTAAAGCAATAAATATAAATGACAAAGATTTGAAAAGTACTGGCTTTGGATGCAAAATTAAATAGTGTAACAAAAAAGGATAATTTAAGTTTAATAATTTATTTATTTGTTGTTGTTGTTATTATTATCATGTGGTGTTTATAAGGTCAGTCAAATTGACCAAGCCTGTATAATGTTAGTGTCAGGTAAAAAAAAATAATAGATAAAATATAAAGTTTTAGTGGAAAAAAAACTTTTGATTTTCATTTAGGAGGTTCTAGAGGTTATGTAAATGAAATATTAAAACTAAGATGAAAAAAAAAAAAATTTTGTTCTTAAGAAAATCACCTTGCATTCAGAATGACTCATTAAAGGCTTTTTAAATTCAGAGACAAAGCTTTAGTAAGAATACTTTATTAAAAATCTGAATTTTTGTGTACAACAGATTTATAATGTTTACTAAAAGCTTTCCAACTTTCATCAAGATACATGTAGTAAATTCTGAGTTATAGTTTTGTTTCACAGAAATGGGGTCAATCCACTGAGCAAATGCTGTTGATATAAAGTTAACTACGCTGCTTTTATTTTTTTACTCTTTAACTTTTGATTCTCAGTTAAGTATGACTGAAAATAAAAAATTCAAGATGATAGTGTTATTTATTTCATAATTTAGTTCTGATAATTTTGTTTTACATCAGTCATAAAACAAGTGTTGTAACTGATACAATCCCAACCTTGCCACTTTAATCAAATCTGAATTCAAATTAATAAGTAAAGCTAAGTATTAAGAAATAAAAATATGTTAATGAAAACCATTTCTACAATCAATATGAATTAAGCTTGATAACATTTTATTTCAGATCATTAACTAGAGTAATATTTTCCAAATTAGTTAAAAAAAACATCATACATTCTGAGTGATATACAGTTCAGAGCAATCTAATTTTGGTACCTATCAGATTTAAAACATGACGAAAAGTATTTATCTTGGTAAAATGACAAAATTCCACCTATTTTGTGCAAACAAACAGTAGTTAAGTATTTAAACAACTCTCAAAAGAGAGGATGCAAATATTTTGATATGTGCATTTTAGAAAGTATGTACAAAAAAAGCTAGTGTGATTACAAATGTGTTTAGATATCCCATTGTGAAGCTTTGTATTTAACAGTAAACAAACAAAAAATCAGAGGTTAAGTATGTAAGCATACATGCATGTAAATAATTTTAAAATGCATTACATTAAAAATAGTTCAAACTCTGGCAGACTGTGATTTAAATTAGGAAGCCAAGGGCAGTACCTAAAGGTGAAAGCCATCATTACATGATATATCGTAATTAACTACTTTCAAAATTGATGAATACAGATGAAGTGTGAAGACAATATCACATTACAATAATCTAAGGACAGAAGAAAACTAAAAACTACAAAAATGTTTAGATAACTTACACTTTCTTGAATATACTGCAGAAGGAAAGGAGAAGCTCTTAAGTTGTCTACAGGGAAATTAAAGAAACCCTGAATCTCTTTTTGGTGTAAATCCATGGTAATGATATGTGTTAGACCTGTAGGTAATCAATTAATATATGCATAAAAACTTCATGCAACACATATACAAAAAAAAAACACACACCCGGAAAAATTTAATGTGAAATGAACTTTAAAATATTTTTAACAATTTATAAATTTTAACTTCATATGCTGTAATCAATAATGTTTTATTGAAGCAATCAGTTTCTTATGCACTGAAATTTAATAGCTTATAATTAATATTGCGAAGTTTAATCATTTTTTATGAGTAAAATAGTATTGGTGATTAATAATATATTAGTATAAACTGTCATGGATTTTGTACCTTAAAAAAAATGGTAATAATGTGTTGACAAATTTATACTATTCTTCCAAACATATATTTAGAATATTTTAATTTTTCCCTGAAGTACTTTAAACAGGTTAGGATTGAGTGTTGTTATTGTATTTCTGCTGATACAAAACTACAGATCACATATTTTCACACAAAGCTCTTTTTCTTTAAAGAGAAACTGACAGTTTTATTGTCTTATTTCTTGAAAGCTGCAGAATTAGGTTTTATGATAGCTTGTAGCTGAAAAAAAAAAAGATGATCTTTACTCAGTGCCTCATATTAAACTCTTTTTCAATTAAATGTTGATGAAACATTACAATTTTTTAAATATGTATTCTTTAAAGGTTTTAGACCACTTAACTGAATTACACATTTCAAGCTACTTGTACTTAAGATACTTGAATATAGAAATTTTGCAATTATTAATTATTTAGATCAGAACTAAGACAACTTTAAAGATAATAAATTAATTACAAGTCACATTTAATAAACTGATTAGGAACAGCTATCAGCATAAATCAAAACACCAGAAAACTAAATATATATATTATTACTGTGAACTAAACCATCCGTTGAGTATCCTCATAGTTGACAATATATTCATTGCCATAATACAAATAATATCTCAGACTCTTAAAACCTACACAAACACTCAAAACTATGTCTTGGTATTTTTATCTTTCTGAGTCAATATCAAGTGCTGTTAGCTTTACCTGGTTTAGTGCATTCTAAACCTAGATTATATCACAACAGGATAACATTCTTTTAAATTTCCTATAAAAAGGATGTTGTGCAATAAGCAAAATTAACTGCACATCTTAACAAGAAACCCATGAATATAAACTATAATAATTTATTTACAGTTAACATACTGATAAAAACATTCCCACTCCAATGAAATTTTAAGCCTGTACATTTCAATTAGATATTTAAGAAAAATTTTTTTTTGATGGGCTAGCTTAATGAGTTTAATTTTAAATCGGGCCCCTATTTTTCATTTCGTGCCCTCCCAAACAATTATAAATTAGTCTTCAGTTATTTCTAGAAATCACCCATTAAATTGTGATCAGTACTCATTGCTTCACTGACTTATACAGACAAATACAATTATTCATTTAATATTTTCACTATTTATTCCATAACTATCAAATTTTCTTTCCAACATAAAATACATTACTTGCCTGCTTTAGACATCATGGTTGCCAGAAGTTTTGAAACAATACATCCCCTCTTCCTCATTTTACTTTGCTTGCTATAAGGAAGATAGGGAATAACTCCAACAATATTTCGGGCACTCGAAGTCTTGCATGCATATGTCATAATCAGTAACTCCATGATACTGTTGTTAATATCCCTATATTATAAATTATACCAATTATTTATGATCATATGATGAATATTAATTTGAAACAAAAAATTTAAAATAGTAAGTAAAGCAGAATAACTAATTATATTAGTGTATTTTTTTAAGTATTAACAGTTACAAAATAAAAAAACAAATATAATTTACTAAAATCTAGCTATAAATTTGTGCTTCATTAAAATATAATCCGATCACACAATATTCTTAAATAACTTAAATTTTACTGCTGAAGATAAATGTTTAAAACTCTAAATTAAGATTACAGCACAAATTACTTCATGGGCATTATCATGCAGGCAGACCTATACAATTAACAAGAAAATGTCAAGCTTCCCTACAGTTTATAACTGATGGTGAAGCATTAATAATATATGTGTGATATATTATCACAACAAGACTGATAATACTTTATAACACAACATTCTCTACTGGCTTCATTTGGTAATTAAGAACTTATATTCTTTAACAGTATTTCAACTACATCTCATTTGTTGTATATCACTGCCAAAGATATCTTTCACTTAAAAACAGAGTTCACCAAGTGAGTTAAACTACAATTTTAAAATCTTAAATTAGCTTACTGGAAAACTATGTTAGGCTAATAAAGAAAGATGTGATTAAATAATAATAATTCCTAACAGAGTAAGATATATACCCCGGGTGAAACTAAACATCTACCTGGCTGTCAGTATAGAAAATTAACTATACTATTCTTATGTACTTACATATAAAGATTAGAAGGCATTGTTTCATCAACTGGGTACGCTCACTGCAAACGATCTTTTTTTTTTTTGGCTATAAACCCAATACTACATTAGAAGGTTCTGTCAGCTAAGGATATTTAAATTAGTCCTTACTACAAAATCTATGTTAAAATGCAAGTTAATCATTATTACAAAAGTATAATCATATACTACAGTTTAAAATGAAACAAAAGTAAATAATTTCAATATAGTACATAGTACAACCAATATTATTAATGAAAGGAACAATAAATAAACAAAATAGCCTACCTCATCCAGACTACCCACAAAATTGTTTCTGTCCCAAACCATATTTTCTGATGTGTATTTCTTTAGAAACCTGTTCTCTCTTACACCGCACTTTTCCCAAAGAAACTCAGTACAACACCACTCTATATAATATCAGTGATGATTAATGGTATGTGGTTTTAGTTAAAAGCATGTTGCATTGTACATACTTACCATACTATGGCAAAAACAAAAACCAATGTTCAAAATAAAAAATAATAACCGACCTTATAAGAGAATGATATTAAATGTCATAGTAAGAAAACAACTAGCTACTCTTAATATACAGCTTATCTAAAATCTCTCCCCACCAGTCTTAACATATTCTTCCTTACAATTACTGTTTCCTCTACAAACATTTGAGGTGGCTACAAGAAGTAATAAATAACATTCAATGTATTCAAAAAAAAAAACCATAAAACATGATACTGTTCACATTGCAGGCACAATATGGCAAAGACAGTAAATATCAAAATTAATCTAACTAAACTAATGATGTTACTTCATAGTTAGCTAATATTAAGTATATAAAAATTACTATCAGTTTTATTGTGATATCACACCACACTTATATTACTATTAAACATCATGCTCCACCAGCTAAGGCTTTCTATATTCTTATAGTGAAGCAGTGCTTTGTTCAAATTTAGAACTTGTTACCTTCTCAACAACATGCTAAAACTTGTACACTAACCTCATGGAATAGTTATACAAAATTAGGACTAACATAAACATACATGTGTTGCAGACTAAGATGCTAAATAATGAACAACCAGTTTCAATTAAAACAGAAACTTCATTAATCTCAACATACAAAATAATTGTTGCAAATATATGCATGTTTATCCTAAAACTTGATGGAAGTTTTAATCATTGCCTGATATTTCTTATACAAGTTCCAACTGAAAAAAAAAACTTACAAATTAAAATTGAATTATCTTCTAAGATATAGCTGTATCAAAATAACTTTATGTGCCATTACTAAAATGCAAATTAAAGTAAATTATGTTCCAGTTAAAAAGTAAGCATCTAGACAACAAACATTCTATGAATACAAATATTTAATTAAATTTGGTTTTGCTTATGCAAGCACACACCTTATCGTATTTCACATGGTCTCACACACATTAACATGACAATCTTAACTTAGAATTAAATTTAAAATGAGCTAAATTTTTCTTTTACAAGATTTACAGTTGAAAAACATGTGCACAACTTACTTGGAGCCAGTCTGAATGATGTATACATCTCTTCCACGAACAGATTCACCTATGTCTACAACAGTTTCTGCAAGTGCATTTAAATACATAACTCTTAAAGGATTTAAACAAAAATTACTTCTATCCATTTAGAGTATTTTACAAACACCTTATAGATAAAACATTTATTGTATAGTATCATTTTAAGTTTGTATTAATTACTATTAAATAAATAAACAAAAACACAAGTATTCAAAACGTTTCATTAAAAACAAGAACTTGAAACATAAAACTAATAATAATAATATGGCAAATAAAGCAAAAATCATGCTGGTAAAAATATTAGGCAAATGATTTACATGTAATAAGAATGTGTGTCTGCAAGATAATAATATGCCCAATGGCAAGTGGCATGATAAAGAAAAGTATCTGAAAACAGGTGATGAATATGAAAGATAATGTTGAGAGTATTCAAAACAGTTGTCCTTACATTTCACATTTCTTTCTTTTTAATGTCAATTTATGTCTGCTTTATAGTGAATAACCATATATTTATACAACAAAGGGACCTACATGTACAACCAGTGAAAAATACAAAAACATTTTTTCAATTTTTTTTTTTTTTTTTTATCACTTATGAGTATGTATAAAATTAAAAATGGTATTTTGTTTGAACATATATAATTTATAACCTTTAGATAAACCCAAGGAAAAAAATACAGCTATCAACAGAAATCTATCACATTATAAAAAGACATACAAACTTACCTCTATTTGATGAATGGTACACAGAACAATTGCCAACTCTGACCCCAAGTAGGCTACAAGAATATATAAATGTTTTCAGGATTCATGTACAGGGTGAATGTACAAGTCAATACACTGCTTACAACAGCAAAAAAATTGTTTCACATTACAGAAAACTTTTAATTTATGTAAAACTTTATTGTCAGTTCATTTCATACATGGTAAATGTGCATATTGCTGTATCTTTTGTATAACTTTTGATTAACTTTACATGGCTCAAGTTTTGATGAACATTTAATAAGTCAACTGGATAAAAATTTCAATCTTCCCTTTTGTTATTTTTTTCTTGTTTTTATCAGAATGTTCTAACTTCATGATCCATTAAACCTTCAATGATAATTCTACACTGTAGTTAGCTACAGTAGATCTATCATGGCCTTTAAAAATTAACTTACCACAAAAAATAAGACTTTCTTTATTATTACACTAACAAAATGGAACAATATAGTATATATATTTTTTTTTATAAACACATGGATATGTTTTTTAATTGTACTGTGTTTATGGATATGTTCAAGGCAGTTTTCAAAACCACATTCTTATTTAACATTTATAATAACAGAAAGAGCTTTTTTTCCTATTTAAAGCTTGATAACTATTGTTTTGAATTTGTCAGCAATAGATTTGAGTCAAAAGGAAGTGACAATACCATTTGTATAGATCATTTAGAAAAAAAGTTAACCCTTTCACAATGGGCTTAGTATAATATACACAAGTTCATATACACATTTGCACGTTAAGTATTTATACTTAATTCAGTATGCATATCTTCACAAAATTTTGTATACCTTTAGTAAACATTACAAGTCTTTTGTACACAAAAAATCTAATTTCTTAATTTGTTTGTGAATATATCAAGTCTGTTTCCTTACTAGTCTGTGTGGAAGTGATTTTCATGTTATGATTAAAAATGCTATACTTCATCCCCAAAATCTCAAATTTCTTTTGTGTAATCTTTAAAACCTCCTAAATATATTTCAAACATTTGTTTTCAGTAAAACTATATCTTATTAGTTATGTAATGATACAATTGATCATCAGCCTGTAGATAAATCCCAAAAGTATAACGAAAATACAAGTTGTAAAATTAGAAATAAAAGAAGCAGCTGTGCCTTTTTTTCATTATTATTGGTCATGAAGTTTCAAAGTACTTCTCTTAGGAGTTTGAACTGCAAAACATTTTCCATTTATTTTCTTGCTGAAAATAAACCAATAAATCACCGCTTGTGTCAGTAGACTGTTTACATTACACCACCATAATACAATACTCCTGAAACCAACAAATGCACGAAAAGATAGTTGACTCGACCCCTGCTCCGAGAACAAGATGTCTAATGTATCGGATTATATACGCTAAAATGTTTTCTTCAAAAATTCAAAGTAATCACATTGCACTTAGAATTAGTGAAAATGTTCATGCCGACAACAAGATGTGTAATCTATCGGCTTATGTATGTATCCCACAGTTTTCACAACAAGCCTTTGAGAGTAGCAACACTGAAATTTGAACCTGTCAAAACATTTATTATGTGGCTTTGTGCCGATAGAATAAACATTGCAATTCTTCAAGTATTGGTAATCCTTTTAAGGTGTTTGGAATTTAGCAGCACAGGTGTACAAAGATGTTATTTGAGCACATGCTTATAAAATCCTATTTCCCTTTTCAGCACTTATTCGTCAACCAATAAAAACTCTAGTTTCGGTACTACTTATCACACTCATTTAGTTTTGCAAGCCTTATAAGTCTAGCCTTCTTTGGAAAAACATTCTTACTTTTGCAGCTAAAGTGTACCTTAGAAGTTCCCTTACAGTTGGGAAACACCTTGAGCTGTTACTGACTGTTACCTTGAAGTATGTAATCAACATTTATAATATATATACAGACTCAGAATACAGAATCAAATACATAGTACAAATCTAACTGTATTACCAATATTTTGCAAACTACATCGATATTTTGGCTATCATACATTAAATATAAACATATATATATTTACTCATAAGTGCTTAAATTTTAGTTATTTTTCTTAAAACATGAACACTAAATAAAAATTATATAGAAAAACGATTTCTAGACTTACGAGAAATTACGGTGATAGGAAAATATTTTGCCCTCGTGTGCCTTTAGTGCTAAGCCTCGTTTATTCTTTCGAGTGGAGGGTGAAGAAATATAATTTTTGTAGGCTTCAAATATACATTTTAGAAAGAAGATAATATATGACATTACTCTACTAGTACACCAAAAAATCTGCAACTTCACTGGGTTTATAAATAAAGTATACATATGTAAAAAAAAAAATTATTTCCGTTCGTATCAATAACTTTGTCATCACCATTCAACAGTCTTTGCAAAATTATTATTTTCTCTTCCAAGCTCTTTACAAACAACTGTCAGAGTCACATAAAGTACAACTTGTCTTTTCTATTGGTTATAAACAGATCCTTAAGAAAAGTAGGTGGAACTAAACAAGAGGTTTGGAAAGAATGGAGTAAGAGGAGAAGCCACTCTAGTCGATTTGCTAGATACATTGATTTCTCCGTAAATCAAAGTGGTGGGAGGTTCTAAACTTATATTCTAGCTTGCCAGTATCTAAAATTCATGTTTCTAATTCATTAACCACTTATAGATGTATATAGTAGGCATAATAAAATATAAACTAAACAACAAGACATGAAGATGCACTATGTGGCACACATGAATTGCTATTTAGCATTAATTATATTTATATTTTATTTTGAATTAAGAAATTAAAACATATAATATTAAAATTTGAAATGTTTTAATGCCAATTTCATTGATATATAGTAATAAAGTTACTTAAAGTTTTAAAAATAAATTGCTAAAAGACTGTAACATGCACAATTAGACTCACCCATTGCAAAAGTGTTAAATGTTAGTAGTTTTGGGGCATTCTATTCTATTCTAGAGACCGATATATTTTTGTGTTTGGAAATGCATGTCTTAAAGGTATGTGAATCTTTGTTTGGACAATGAACTTAAGAGCAAAAAACTAGGCGTATGTAGTTATGTACTCATGTGTTCAGTTTCATACCACACATATCACATCTGTGCATGATGATCTGGTAATATTATTATGTCTCCGTTCGTTAGTTAATTTTTCGTAAAAATTCTTTATGAAGAAACTTTACCGATACAAGTCCTTTCTTAAATAAAACTGGTTTATTCTTTCTGAATACAACTTTGTGATACACTTAATTTCAACAGTCGCGCTATAACAAATGCTATAATTCACAATGAACGTCTCACGTGCTCAACAGTATTCTCTCTCCACAGTTCAATTACACATTACCCTCCCGCGCGTTGTGACCGTCTTATATAGAAAAGAATACCGAGATCTAGTAAACTCCCAATATTTCAGGAAGGGACGTGAACGTTCAAGAAGCTTGTGGCGTGATACCAGTGTTACGTGACCCCCGATGTCGTAACACTGCCCCTTCCTTAGTATCGTTCGTCCCGAACAATAGCCACTTGCATTAAACCA